AAGCCTGAGTGCCAGAGACGGTTCAGCCACCTGGGGAGTAGATGGTGACAGGGGTGTTAACATAGAAAGGTCGTGCTATCCCACAATGCTATCTCTTTTAGAGCACAGTCATGCATGCCTTCCAGACTGCATTGCCACGAAGACCCTTGTGTTGGAATTGGAAAACCACTTACGCATTTGCCAATAAGACAATGATTTCATAAAGGATGATACTGGCATTCTCCACCCCCCAACCCCCACCTCCAGTTTCGAAAGTTCACGTTACACCACTTTGCTTTCACAAAAAAAACTTACCTTGGTACCTTTTTCACTAAGAGAAAAAAATCCAAAGATTTTCACTTTTACAACAAAAGGCATCAGTGCCTGCATGGCAACAGCTGTTCCAGAGGCTGCGCACACCCTGAGCAGAGGTAGCAAAGTCCACCTCCTGCCCCAGAACTGCTCCTTGCAGGCCAGGCTGTATAGCATGTCGTTTCTGCTTCTGTGACATATGGGTGTTATTTTAAATTATATGTGTTATTTGATATGACTTGGGTCTGGCCATGCTCAAAAATTTTTTCCACATTTCATTGACCACACTGCTTACCTTGGGTAGATGTCCGGGGTTGGTGGGCCATGGTCAAAGATAAGTTTTGCTCTGCCTGTAATCACTGAGTATTTTACTATGAGAGTGTATGCAAGAAAATATTGCATCATTGTGTAATTGATATTACAGGCTTAAGGATTCTAATAAGTGTTCCTATCAGTTGAATAGCATAAAAAATCGGTTAACTTTGTGTTTATACACATATGTGTGATCACATTATTATAAAATCATCTCATTTGTTAAAATCTCTCATTGTTCATCCGATAGTCAAGAACAAAGATAGTTTCTCTTGTGTTCAACCACAAACACACACACACACCCCATCACTCATCCTGGGCATAGCAATTTCCACCCTTTGCCACACTGTGCTAACTTTCAGGATGTCTAAACCACATGCAAGCGGGCCTTTCTGATTAACTGATAACTTCGTTTCCAGACTTCCGTGCCATCTGATTGTCAACTCATAATTTCAGAGCTGCCAAAACACCAGATTTGGTGGTGGTGCCTGGATCTGGGGGTGTAGCCTGACAACCAGGTACCTGGCTTCCTGACCTCAAACCACACTTCTCCCCGCGTGGGCCCTAAGCATCCTCGAGACATATGACCCTGCTCGTCCCCCTGGCGTGAGCCTCAGAGCAAGCACTGGGGAGAGAGTGGGAGGCCCAGAAAGTTGCCGATCTGACAGAGTCCTCTTAGGAACATCTTTATAACCATGTCTTGATTTACACCCCACTTAATGAGGCGTGTGGTATAACGGGAAGACACCAAGGTTTGGAAGAAAACATAAAATCCAAATGTCACTTGGGGATTCAAGTTCTCTTGTTAGTGTAATTCCACCACCACTCCCCCACCTCCATGGATGGACCCACTAGAGCAGCCAAATTACAAACCTTCAGAAAATGGTTTTAGGCAAGAGGTTAGAAGAAGATGGGATGATGTCATCTTTGGTTTTCCCAGACTTTAGGGTGACTTCCCCTCTTTGCATCAGATAGACTTAATCTCCTTTTATTCCAATGAGATGCGGATTTTTTTTTTATTAGATAATAAATTTTATTGTTATATTCCCCATTCAATTGCAGCGCCCCCATTCTGACCCCAATCCCTCCCCTCCCGCCCCTGCCCCCCTAAAAGTGTCTCTGGTTCATAGTTTTTTGTTGATTTTGATTTTCACTTTCTTATAGTTATTCATTTTCCTGGTCCCTTATTTAAGTTTTCTAGATTCCTGCTATGAGTGAGACCATCCGGTATTTTTCTTTTTCTTTTTGGCTTATTTTGCTGAGCATGATCCCTTCCAGCGCCATCCATGTTGCTGCAAATTGCATGTGTTTATCTTTTTTGAATGCTGAGTAATATTCCATGGTATATATGTACCACATCTTCTTGATCCAGTCATCTATTTTTGGGCATTTGGGTTGTTTCCAAAGCTTAGCTATTGTGAGCAGTGCTGCTATAAACATAGGGGTGCAGGTGTTCTTTGGAATTGATGTTTCTGTGTCCTTTGGGTAAATACCTAGGAGTGGAATTGCTGGATCATATGGAAGCTCTATGTTTAGTAGGTCCAGAAATCTCCACACAGCTTTCCACAGTGGTTGGACCAGTTTGCACTCCCACCAACAGTGCAGAAGAGTTCCTTTTTCTCCACACCCTCGCCAACATTTGTTGTTGCTAGTTTTTTTAATATGTGCCATTCTCACTGGTGTAAGATGGTATGAGATGCGGATTTTAAGGCTCCAGAAAGAGACCAATCCAAGCTTTCTTGGGCTCTTTATTCCCTACCACCTCAGTGCAGTCCTCCTGCCCCACACCCCAGAGGTAACCCACACTGCTCCCAGCCACCTGCTGCAAAGGCGGGGCTCGTTCACAATATGACAATGTAGCCTAAGAGTTGGCCACATTTTCTTAAAGATCAGAGGTGAAGCAGAGGATGTCTCCTTCTTATTGTTATGCTTCAGCCTAGGCAGGGGAGGATAGAATTATGGGCACAGGGTGACAACCAACTACTTACTTCATTTGCGACATTGACTGCATTCTCCAAGAGAAACAAAAAAGAGTAAACAAATGTGATTTGTAAATGAAAGGGAGCTTTAAACTGACACAAAGCAGACATGGCGTCTCATGTGCCCTGTCTCTAGGAAGGTCCTCAGGAAGTCTGACCGATAAAAATGGATTGCAGTCTGTTATCCCAAGGGTGCCCACGCCAATGTGCAGGGCCAGCAGTGGGTGCCGATGCAGCCCTTGCTCAGCAGGACTGGCCTTTAGCCAGAGCCCTCCATCCCTGAGCAAAGCTGGGATTGCTCTCAGTAATCACCTCTGTTTGACGCCTCTTTTTCTCTTCCCCCTGTCTGACCAGCCTGTTTCAATGCACACAAGGTCTCTCTAGGTCTTCAGTCTGTTAGGGGGAAAAGGATGTCCCTTTTTAAGCGCGCGGGTGAGGACCCACAGCCAGGCAACCCGTTTTATATCGGGGCTGCTCCGTAACAAGTCTGTTACACAAGGTCTCTGGCCTGGGGGACCCTGTGTCTCTTCTCAATGACTCTGGATCTCTGCTCTGACATTTGATGGTAGGACTTTTCAAGCTTGAATGGGCCTACATGTCACCCAAGTTCTTGTTAAAATCTGGATCTGAGTCTGCAGGTCTGGTTGGAGTCTGAGCACCTGCATTTCTAACAGGCTTCCAGGGCGTGGCCTGGCTTCCCAGCCAAAGCACACTCTGAGTAGTAGGAGGCCAGGGCACAGGCTGGTCTCCTAGTCTGGAGGATGCGAAAAGATGCCCTGCATCAAACTAGCCATGTGAACAGAGGAAGGTGGTCAGGGCCCGAAATCAGGGGCCCAAATTGCTTTGTGAAGTGTGGTGTGCAGAGACAATGCAACATGGCTGTTACTACTGCTTTCCTGTATATGAACTATCACTTACTTTGGATTCAGAGAAAACTGGATTTAACCCCGTCACCATTTTCTAAGTGGAGGCTTGAGGAAGTCACTCCATTTCATTAAGTTTCAGTTTCCGCAGCTACAAAATGGGAGGTTGTCTTTTCAATAAGGACATATTTGTAGATATTCTGAGTAAATATGTATTTATATATGCATCTTCTCTTTATTAATCTCAGACAAGCAAAAATTCTGTGTGTGTGTGCAGATGTGTATGTGTGTTTTACTCATTAAACATTTCTGCTAAATCTGGAACCAGAACGTAACTAAAAATAATCTGCAAAACTGTTAACTAAATAGCCTGTCAAGAGTCATCTGATTTTCTAAGGTTTACAGAGCTTCTTAAAAACTAAAATGATTTATGGTTTGCTACCATAACGCTACAAAGCTAGTGGTTTCAACTAAGTTTCACTTACTCAACCCTGAAATTCAGTGGAAATCTGGGGAAAATCCACTCAAAAGAAAATTGCTTCCCTGAATCCTTCTGATCACCAAGCTGTCCAGAACCAAAATTTGGAATTTGTTCTGCTGGGGCCAACATTTCTCTTTGACTATAATAAGCACTCTAAAGAGGTGCTAAACAGCTGTGCTGTAACGACAGACCCCATTTCATTCCAACCCATCCAGAAGATTCTTCAAGACAGAGCCATGGACCATTTTGTCACAAGAATGACCATAAGTGCCTATCATAGCAACTCTGTGCCATGTTGTCATTGGCTCTGTTTCTGCACCACCCTCAGTCCTCACAACCATCTTGAGAGGTGGATGCCTTTGTTACTCCCATTTTACAAAAGAGGAACTGAGGAAAAGAGAAATGAATTAGCAAATGAATTTTAAAAATGGAAACGTTAACACTCATTTTTATCTGAGCAATATAAAATTAAGTTGTTCATCTGCTTAATTGGGTTGAAAGAACTGTCTTGGAATTACCCTGGGATACACACAAGTCTTCTATGCTATACCCTAAGATTGACATGCAAAGCTGAATATCACAGCACTGTGGATTGTATCAGAAAACTGTCAAAAACCCCAACTCTGAAATCAAAGACTGTGTGCAGCCATAAATAAATTTTCAAAGAATTCTTAGTGACATAAAAATGTTGTAATGATGCCATATGAAATAAGGTAGTAGGCTATTTACACATTCATTTATTCAAAATAGTTCATGAACACAGACTTTGCTGACATGGAGCTGGGAATAGAGCAGGTGAATGAGGCAGACTTGGCCCTCTGGAGCTCACAGTCTTGGAAGAAAAGACCCCTGAATCTTAGCAGTTGTCTTAAGGACTCAGGGTTCTGTTTACTTTCCACCTTCAGCCTTACTCTAAATTTAAGCATTATTTTTTTTTTTTTACAGATTTATTGAGCTGTGATTAGCATGCCACAAACTGCACCCATTTAAAACATACAGCTACATACACTGGATATAGTATACACTCCAAATTGTGAGAGAGTGAGGCCATCGCCACAGGGAGGAGAGAGAGTGAGCCTATCCATCACCCCCAGAAGTTTCCTCAGGCCACATTTCCCCCTCCCACTCTTCATTTAATCACCAATCTGCCTTCTGTAGATTCCTTTACATTTCTAGAAGTTTATACCAAATGGAAATACACAGTATATCCTTTTTTTGGTCTGGCCTGTCACTCAGCACCTTTATTTTGAGTTTCGTCCCCATAGGGTACCAACGCCGCTGAAGAGGATTCAATGACAGGACCGTCCACCCGGATGTTGTCCATTCCCAGGCTGGTGAGCATTTTGGTCTCTTCCAGTTCAGAACAATTACACATCGTGCTTCTAGAAACATTTGTGCCTTTGTGCATACATCTATTTCCTTTCCTCTTGGGTAAACACCCTGCAGTAGGATGGCTGGTCACACAGTAACTCTATGTTTAACTTTTGACGAAATGCCTACCTGCTTTCAAGTGGCTGTCTCATTTCTACCAGGAGGGTATGAGTTCATCTTTCCTCTGTTCTAAAAACCAACACGAGAAATAAACAAATATCTGCTGCTGTAAAAAAAAAAAAATTAAATTTAGAATTATGGGTCCCAATGGCGCAGCGGTTGAGCGCTGGGTTGTGAAGCTGCCCGCAGCCTCTGCAGCGCCGGTTCGATCCCCAGCTGCTCCCCAGCCACCGGAGGAGGGTCCCAAGTGGCGCGCAGACCTCTCCTGCCGCCCGCTGCTCCCCTCAGCAGTGTACTTGGGTCCTTCTGCCTGCTCTGCTCCCCGCTCTGGCTCTGGTGAATTCTCTCACCCTCCCTCGCTTCTGACTGTACCCAGTGCTTGCATAAATAAATAAATAAATCTTAAAAACAAACAAACACCAATTAAAAAAAATTTTAAAAATATAAAATTTAGAATTATGTACAGTAAGTGAAATTCAAGTTCCCTTCTATTCCGTTCCTTACCTACTTACTCCTACATATTACTCATTAAAAGAGTGACGTGTGTTCATCCAGTCTTGTCTTCGCTGTATGTGTGTGTGAGTGGGTTCTGTGATGCCTGGTGCTCTGTTCTGACTTCACGCACTGCACAGGGAAGCCCGAGGGTCTTTCCTTGTCCATGCATACAGCTCTCCGTCTATCTTTCAATTTGTCGCTGAATATCCTATCCTATAATAAGGAGGGAAAAGTGTTTTTAATGTGATTACAATTTTATTTATCTGTCCTATGAAAGAGGCAGCTTGCTTTCATGTCTTACATTAGTGAGACTCTTGATGAAGTTCCTTTCTCTTCTCAAACCTAAGCAAAGGCGGCCTGAAGAAGGGCTGTGCTTCTTCCTGCTGATCCAGGTCACTTGGCACCACAGTGGGCTTGGCGGCCCTTGCTGGAGTGAGATAGAATGTGGTGGATGGCCACTGAGGTCAAACAGCTTTGCATCATGTGGCAGTAATGCTCACTTTGTGTTTGTCAGAGAATTGCCATTTCTGGACTACCATCTGGTCTGGTTCTCAGCAGTCAGGAACGCGCTCATGGTTAGTCATTCTAAGAAAGGCAAAAGGGCCTAAACTCTTCAACTTTCAGCTTTGGGGCTGAGTAAAACTATGATTTTATTTTTATCATGTCAGAAAACATAGCACATCTGCCCTTGTGCTACCAGAAACTACTCTTCTGTTTCAAATAGACCATAAATTGATCCATGCTTGGTGAATGCTACTATTTTTGACTTTTTCCTTTATGTCTAGTTTTTCTCTCCCATTTTCAGTCCTAGTGTTACTAGGACTGCATTAAATGCACCTCTTTATTCTTCTCTCAGGATTATCTAAGTCATTTACAGGGGCTAAGTCATATACACTTACATAAAATTGGGACTCTATTGTAATATAGGTGCATGCCTTACAACATGTTTTCATGTTAGTAGATATCAACCCACAAGTTAAATTAAATCCAAATCTTAATGGCTAATTTCCTCATAATATTTCAGGTATGGACATCCCATAATTTTCTCTAGCCACCCCCCTATGACCAATCAATTTGCACTCATAATTGAAGAGTTCTGCTAGATTTTATCCAAGGTGGTGCTGTGATATCAGCGCTTACCATCTGCATGTGTCGCCATGTCTGATGGAAGACCGAACAGTAGGTTAGAGTGGTGGTACTCTGATCCATTTGTTGTGTTTTCTCCTGCTGTTGGGGTGTTACTTTGGTTCCAAGTGGCCATCCAGGTCCCATCAAAGAATCACCCAATAGCTTAACAGATGATGATAGCTCTAGCTTGGATCTACATTGTCATGAGGAGTTGGAAGATTATGATTTTCTAAGTTGTCATCCTTCTAATTTTACTATCTTTCTACATCTAGCTGGCATTCTTCCATAAAATAGAGCTTTATTTTGTCAGCTGGAATTATAGGGTTCAAATAGACAGACATCAAGGATACTTCACATTAATGACATGGTTTCAAAAATAAGGAGTGAATACTAGTTGCCTCGATGATAATAAATTTTTTTGGCTTTTTCTCTTTGAATATCATTATGGGCGAAAGAATTTTGATATGTTCAATGGCTATGTTTTGATTGTGTTATTCTTGGTTCCCATGGAAATATTATTCTCCTCAGATAACAGCACATCTCCAAACTGAGTTATTTAAACCAAAGTATCAAAACAAGAGTGGTTCCAAATATAACCTTCACACATTTTGGAAAGAGGAAACATTATTTTCTAAGAGAACAATGACAAGATAATCTAATAAATTATTTTGTTCATTGTTCACATTTGTGTTCTCTCTTCATCTTCAAGATGTGGGCGAATTCCAAGTGTGCCCTGAAGGAAGGCGGCAAGATGAGGATAAGGATCCTCACTGGTGGCCAGGGGCTTGGGAGTATGTTGTACTAAGGCAGCACCTGTAAACTCAGATTCAGCGTCAAGAGCTAGTCGATTGACCCACAGTTAAGATGCTTTCAAACCACAGGCATTATTAAATTCTTGTTCCTAACCATATCAAGAACCCAGTCCAGCTTCTCTTTCTTTCTCACATAACAGAGTGCAGACACAAGAGGCTCAGAGCCTCAGGCTGTTCACTTCACTAAATCATGGTTTACCCACCATGCTTTGCAGGAGAAATGATGACGAGGCTAAGCATTGTTGTTTCTAAGCAACTGTTGAGGAGGGTGTGAATGTGGAGCCCCACTCTTCAACGTCTTGTGGTTTGCCCTGTGATTCGGCCCCTTGTCTTTCCCGGTTCCTTCCCTGGGGAGGAGATCCATCTGAGAAGCCAGAGCCCCAGCTCCTCTCTGCAGGCCTGACCATGCCTCCTTCCCCTTCATCAGAGGCTACTCCATGTATCCCTAGCAGCTCCAAATGGAGGGTGCAAAGGCTAAGGTTAGTCTGCAAGTTTCTTCAAAGGAAGAGCAAACTTTTAAGAACCACATCAGCTTTCGGGCTCACTTTACCTCACAAGAGCAAAGACCATAGCTGTTTTCTTTACCTTTGTGACCTTGGGGCCTAAGATGGTGTTTGACATATCTGTCAGGTCTTAACATACATTTGGTGAACAAATAAATGAACTTACTACCAGAAGTGCATAGCTGGTCACATGGAATTTATGTTTATACTTGCTACTCTTTGGACTTCAGTTGTCCCTAAAACATGTCTGTAATAAATGGTGTGAACGTCTCTCACAGCTTTCAGCTTCTATACCTACATTTCTTTCCCGTAAGTTACACTGAGAAATGTCATTGGTGAAATGTATGAAAGTCGTCAACCTCAAACCAGGGTATGCTTTAATTTTCAGTAAAGTAGTGCCTGCTATGGTCTCACCTAGGGTCTTCTGTGGCTTTTTTCTTCCTTGTATCAACAAATAAGCAGGCATGAACACGCACACACACACACACACACACACACACACACACACACACCCTTACAAATACACTCATGTCAGGGTCCATCTACTTATAGGCCTTTTAAAAAGCATCTTGCTCCCTCCTCTGTACAGGTTGACGCTGTAGTAAATGTTGATTGTCTTAATCTAGCAGCCAGTTAAAAAAAAAAATCTTTTAGGAATAAGGCAGAGATGTTTGATGGACTTCTGCGTCGGAAAAAACAACAGTCAGCAAACCAAAGCTCTTCTGGGTTATCTGAGCTTTTGCATTTTAATCATCGCTCTTGATTTTACTCACAATCCATCTTCCCTTTTAACATTAAAAGTAAGTACTCCCTTGAACTTTTGCCCTCTGAAGTTTTGATCTCAGAAAGGTGATTTTTATTTTTGTTTCTTTGTATTCTTTCAAAATAACTGTAATGCCCACAGGAATATCTGTATTGAGATTAGCAGGTTTGAAATACACTTCCCCAGGGTCCTCTCTTGTTTCCGGGAAACTGCTGCTCTGCTCTAAGCTCATTTGCACGAGGTCCATGTACTTGGACTTGGCGCTAAATGTACTTGGTTGTGTGCTAAATAGTTACATTTTGATTCTTACCTTTTCTCTAAAAAGAACCCAAAAAAAAAGACTCAAAAGAAATATGCCCAAGTGAGAGTCTAGCAGAATAATGTTGGCAATGGGTTGGACCAGAAATCAGTTAGAGTCTTAAATTGAAAATCTCTCCTAGCAGCAGAAAAAAGAGTTGACGGTGGGGATTTTTTTAAAGAAGGTGTGAAAAGATGAAACTGGTTTCCCTGTTGTGACTCACTCAGCTACTCCATATTTAATTACATAAACTCCTTGAGCTGAGTTACCTTGTCGTGGTGGCATTTCTGAGACCACAAGAGAAGGCAAGCTTGACCCACCGCCAGAGCCTTGCTGGCCTTTGCCAGCCTTTGCTAGATGACTCTAAGTTCCTTGAGCCTGGACACTGCAGACTGGCCTTTTGATGAAAGGGATGCATCTAACCTGCATATTTTGACAGCAATCTAAAACAGTAAAAGATTTGTTGTAGGCAAAGAAAAATCTTTGCTTGCCAAAGAGAACGCCTCAAGCCCACCTCCATTGGGCTACTCTTGTAGTTTCATCACCTACAAAAAGCGCTAATTAAGCTTGAGATCAATGCCCATCCACTATCTGAATTATCTTAGGATTCAAAAGTCCTTTGTCCTTTTCATTTTCCCACTAGCACACATACACACATTCATGAACACACCTGTACACTCATTGACACACACTTCTTTCCTTCTGTTACCCTAATTTCTTAAATAAATTACTACTTGCAGGTGCAAATTTTAAAATCTTTCTTCTCCTTCTCTAAAATAACACAGCTGTTCATCATGCTGTAATCCTTAGCAATTACTAGAACCATAATCTATAATTAATATATAATTCCTATGTCATTTCAGTTCAAGTTTTCCAGATTCTTATTTTTCAAGAAGAAAGTGAATTTTATTGCTGTGCTTTATGTTGTTTAGGTAGAAAATACTTAACAAGCATTCTATGAAATGTTCTTTGTGAGAGGTTCATATTTACATTTTTACTTTAGCCATTTGAAAATGAGAAAATTTAGGCACAGGTGTTTTTTGCTGGTGAAAAACAAAAGGGCCAGATTGAACTGGAGGCAATGATGACATTAGAGGATGACTATTTTAGGCATACTTTTGAAGAGGTATGAGTAAAACAGAAAATTTAGAACAGAACTTCGGCTCTTAGAAGGTGAAAAATTCTCTCTGCACAGCTGAATTCTCTCTGTCCCACATGCTGTCTCATCAGCTAGCACCATCAGAAGTGAGAGTCTGCACTCATGTTTCAATTCAACTGTTTGAGACCATTTTTATTTTCACTAGACAATTTTATTTTACCATTTTTGCAAGGAGCAATATCCCACGTGTCCCTATTTCTCAGAGCACTTCCTAGAGGTCTGTGCATCCAGGCAGTGGGTTCATGACAGGTTGATGAAATATATCAGCCTCCTTTGAAAACCACTTGCAGTGAACAGACCAACTTCTACAGTAAACACACCATAACAAACAGTTGCAACCTCGAGCTTCAAATCAACAGTTCCTAGAACTATTTTTTAATGATGATATTACAGGATGACTCTTTTAGTAAAAACAGGCTCATTTTTTTGATGATGAGATAAAATGTGAGTCCAGATATTGAAAGTTCACATCCTTTACCTTTGGATTTAAACAAAGGTGCTTTCAAAGCAGTCATGTCAATAGCGTCTGACACTCTCAGATATATATTTCTTTTTACTTGAGGTTGCCTTTTTTTTTTTTTTAGTTTTTGTTTCTATGGCATATGTAACGTATAAATACAGCTTACAAAATATGGCATATGATTTTTAATGCTAACAAAGGATAAAAAAGTTTCGAGGGGCATTAATAAATTACCTTTAAACAGGCAAAAATGTAAGCAAGTGTGTTATTTAGTTACCTGTCATAGGGAGTACTTCTCTGCCACCATGTTTATCCCAGCAGTCCTGGACCCTGGAGCCCTGCAAATTTTCCCTTGACCTTGGAGGTAACATTGAAGGGCTACTTCATGTGTTTGCAAAAGTACTTCCCAATACAAGCCTCTCAGAATCTTTGAGAGCAAAGAAGAGCAACACAGAGAAATTTTGTTGTGAAGTGTGAGGTTCTTTTTTTCTTCCTTGACAACACAAATATGGTTGTTAAAAGAATCAAATATGGTAGCATTTATTTTCAATCTACTATTCATATACTTATTCACTGTTCTTGGAACTGCATGTAAATTAACCAGTATTTTCTACCTAAAAATTAGATGTGTAAAAGTGTGAAATCCATGGAAAGTCTTTTAAAGAAAATAACAAGAAAAAACTGTGGGCCATCAGTTTAATCCATTCCACAAGAAAAATGCAAAATTAGCAGCCATTAAAACCAGTTCTTCTTTTATAAAATGATCATTATGGTTAGCCAAATTGAAAAATCACAAAACACTTTTTTTTTTACACGTTGGAAATGAAAGCAAAAAAACAAATGGTCTTTCATCCTATCTGCCCAATAACATCTCTAACAGGTTTCTTTTTTAACCTTTAAATATTTAAACATTAATTTTAGCCCAATGGGAAATTTTGTCAATGTGATTAACTTCTGGGTGTGCAAAAACTAGGTCAAGGATGAAAACCATCACTTTGATTTTCCAAGATACAATTAAAGTTTTATTTTGAACCCTCATTTCATGGGGAAAGAAGAGAATATTCATCATCTTGCACCCCACTCACCTACCCTACCACAACTTTCCCAGGTGGTTAGTTGGTCTAAATTCCAGTAGGAGAAAGTTCTGTAAATTGACAAATACTTCAGACATGTCAGAATTATGTTTTGGTTGTTGTTCATATTGCATTTTTGTTTTTATTTCAGTAATAAGCATGGGACCTGGGAGTAGCTGTTAGCTTGAAGAAGATGGAAGTGGAAGTTTTGAAAGTTATTTCAGGAGATAAAAATCCCAGGATATACTGGAACTAGCAGGGAAGAGAGGACAGTTCATAGATGACCCTAAATCATCTCACTGATGGATGGAGATAAAGTGATTGGTGATGGGACTGGACCAAGACCAAACGTATGTGTAGAATTTATGTAGCTTTTGAGACTCCTAAACAGAGGAAACCTGGCAATATAATTAGGGTGTGCATGTGAGAAGCATGAGATGAAGGTGCAGATTTGATGGTCATCCTAATATATGACTGGTGAGAGTGTAGGAGCGAATGGGATCACACAGACAAGAAGGGCAAAGACAAAAAGGGTGTGAGGCTTCCCAAGGACACTGGCTTTCAAGTGAGCAGAAGAGCCAGCCATGGAGAGCAACAGGGAAGGAGAGAGCAGAGTAGCAAAAGCCAAAGAGAGTTTAAAGAAGGGGGTTGCAATATTGTGAAATGCTGCAAAAACTAACTGAGATGAGGGGTTAGATTTGGCAACTGAGAGAACATTTGTTGACTTTTGAGAAATATGTTTTGGCAGGGAGGTGAAGAAAAAAGCCAAACTGCAAGATGATTGACAGGTGGCGTGTGTGCAGTCAGCCTTGAGCACTATGTCAGGTTTAGTAATAAATGAAAGGAAAAAGCAAAAGCAGTCGATTATAGAAAAGGTCTGGACCAGGAAAGGGTTGGTTTGGTGTTTGTGTTTGTCATTGCCTTTTTTTTGGTGGGGGG